CTGTGCCATCATTTGGGCTCAATGTGTAAGTTGTACATGTTTTATTCCTAAAAGCTTCAAATTCCTCAAAGGACTAGACAATACTATTGTTACATGTAGAGAGAATTTAAAATTTTCCAATGCACATTTTACAAGCAGCTCAATATTAAAGAAAACGTCAGCCAAACGCTTTGATTGCCCAAAAAACTGCTATAATGGTGAAAAGTCTTACAAATTCCTACATAATAAATTTGTTTGTATCTTTCTTTTCGTGCTCAGTCGATATGCTTTTCTGTGAAGTCGATATAACAATGGACTGACCTCATAAAAGGGCTATATTTGTATAATATATAGGAGATAGACATATAGATATGATTTGAAACTTTGAAAAAGGATGCTACGTACGTGCCTGGTCAGGAGGAAATATACTGTAATCATTACATCAACATTTGAGGAGTATAAATCGTGTTGTGCATTCGATTATTAAACATATAATTATTTTTGGCGATAATGTCAAATTACGGAAACCTTTTCAAAGTATGGCACGCCGATTGCGTCAAAATTATTTTCTGCACAACGATCATGATTTTATACACGAGCTTGATGAAAAATATACACGAGTAAAATAAAAATGCACGTATCGGTAAAAATTGCACATAGTTTGAAAGATTTTTACACAAACATAACGAAAAATACACGAATCCGAATTTTTTTACACGATTAAGGGGTATAAAATGCACAAACGTAAAATCAAAAACTGCACGAGCAGAGGAAACTAAAAATTACACAAACAATTTTACTGGCATACAGCTGCGCATATCATTATTATGCACATAGAATATTCATCGTGTTCTTGGTTTTCTGTACTCTTTATCTCTTCATGAATGCTGGATGTAATCGAGAGAAAATGGCGTTGACGATGATATGCATGTTTGTTTGCTTCTTTATTTCTTTGCTAAAACTCGGTCTGATTTCTAGCTGATGCCAATCGAACGAATGAAGTGTTTTCTTGTGAACTGTGTGAGGAAAAATTAAAAGTTGCTCGGAGATATCATATTTTTCTTATATTGACCGAGATCCTAGCCAAAATATGGAGGTATTATATGATGCCGGACATAAATTGTTGCAAGAAAGGAGCATGTTTGTGTTAATGCGGGGAAAAAAAGTACCATTGCATATGATGCACTCGACTCCAAACTAAAAGTAATACATGTAGCAAACTCTAAATTCCTAACGATAAACATATCTTGCTTTTAAAAAGATGATAGAATTTTTTTTTTTTAAAATATACGCTCTATGGCGTTTTAAAAATCTCTGATAGATACAACTTTAACGGAAAGTACTTGTATAAAATAAAATTAACACATGCAGATAAAACGATTAATAAAGTGGATTCTTCATGAAAATGTTGGCAGAATTATTTCTGATTATAATTTATTTTGGTACTTCTCATTTGTACTAATTATGAATTCATTTGGGCAGAATTTTTTTTTCATTTAGGAATAGGAAATTATTCAGTATTTTTTTTTTTCAAAAAGATTAAAAAGTGGGGATTACCTGAACATAAAAAATATTTTATTTCTAATTATACATGTATCTTTACTTATAAAATATGAGGATATCAGCCTACACTATTATGAATTCCTTCCGTGATATCGCATATTTTCAGCCATAAACTACTCAATAAAAAAACAAGACATTCGTAATGGCGATTACTTGATAAATGTTTTCACTTTTAATAAAAAGGACCAGATAATTAAAGGGAAATATATATATACTCTATGTGCTGTAGTACATGAGGTTTTGTGTTTTGTTACTTAAAAATAACAAAACTCTACTCAAATGATCCTGGCACTGGTATAGCATATCATCAGTGACGGATCTGGTTCGTGCATTGATTGGAGTCGCAACATCTGAATCTATGTATTTATTAAAGTTTCAAATCGTTGGAGGACCATAATAACACATCAGAAATTTTAAAAACATAGTGAATTACTAAATATATCTACGTACAGTGTTACAAATAAGAAAATGGGAATGGATATTATAATAAATAGAAAGAACATAGAATGTGTTTTATCACTCTTGAATAATGCAAATAAATCTTGTTCTTTATGGAGCTCGAGGTTTGAAAAATATTTTCCAAGATAACAATTTCTCTTTACATTTCGAATTTGTATGCATAAAATTTTAATTGTTTTCCGAACACTCAGTTTTTGTAATAACACTTCTTTTACCCAAATCTATAGTCATTATAAAAAGAACATGACTGTATAATTACAAAATGAAAATAATCTTCAATAACATTAAAGGAACATATTTGATACAAGATCCACTTTTTAAAAGATTATTCTTGTGCATATCTAACGTTTTTGAAAATTCAGATTATGAGTAAAAAGCCTAATCTGTGCAATTTGTATTTTGTACGTATACATGTACAAGTAATTAAAAAGTTTGCTTTATAACAATATTGTATATGTGTATCAATGGCATCAACCAGGTCTTGTTTTACTTCGAGCATGACTACGAATAAATATAAGAAAACATGTGATGAATATAAACTTCAAGAAATCTTTGTTTTATTACCGTGTGCAAATTTATTATTGTCAAAATCTGCATTGAAAATAAATATGCATGTGTAGCCAAGTCCGAGCTAATTAAGTTCATCTTGTATGTCTTCTTGAATTTGGTCTTACAATATCGTTACAGTTCTGTTGAATTTCAATCCTGATTTCCGTAGACTATTATATGTACCCTTAAATTCTTAGAAAATATTTCAGGCACGTAGCATCAGTAGGGGCTTGCCCCCCCCCTTTTTTCCAAAAATAACCTACTTCTTTTGTAAATGTCCACTGAAAAGCTGGTCCCCCCTTTGCTGTAGGATAGGTTAAATCAAAGTAATTTGGTATTATGATGTGTTTCGAAAAGAAAGTGGAAGCCCCCCCCCCCCGCAATAGGATTTTTGAGTTTGGCAGGTAGGATGTCAAAAAAAAAAAAATTGGCTGCCACCACCACTTTCAAAAACGATACTACGTGTCTGTATTTTATAATTTTAAATTTTCTTAACTCCTTTATATGCATTTTAACTATTCAAAATAGACTACCGCCGGTACATTAAAAACAACATAAATTAACCTTTAATTCACATAAGTAAAAAAACTGTATAATTTTTCTACAGTTTCGTGGAGTTTTATGAAATCACCACACGTTGCTCAAAAGTTAAGACTACATGTACTTTATTACATACATATATCAAAAAGTGAGATATGCGTTTCAATATTAAAATTTAAGTTGCACAATTATTTGCTCGATTTTCTTTACTGTTGACTCCCAAAAAGTTTTCGGTCAAATTCCACAACCCAGATGATCGCAGCATTGCTTCAAAATCTTTGTATGAGTTGCTAGTAATATAATCTTTAATCAAAAGGTATTATTGGTGTGTCAAATAGCTATAAATTGATTAGCGTACAGGTGTCTTTCGTTCCAGAACCAGCAGGGAGGGATCTCTGTATGAAAAGGTCACGCATGTACATCCTTGATTAATACCAAAAGTACACTCAGTGGGTGGTGGAGGAGAGAAGAGTTTGATTTGTTGTTAACTCTCCTGTATTATATCACATGTTGTTTTTATTTATTTTTATTTAGGCCTATATGTCATTGTTTTAAACTTTCAAAAGAAATTGCTATACAGAGGAATGACATACTTTAAAAAATCCAACAATAAAACACACAACTGGTAATATGCAACCCCTTTTTTACGTTATTTATACATGTTTTCTGTGTAGAATGTTTTTTATTCGGGGGTGTTCATATATACTGCAAGTTTAACATTGTGTGCCAGTCAATTTATCTACATAATATACGTTGTACATATTCTTGAGAGTCTAGCGAAATTTCAAAAGAATCTTTTTTAAAAAGATTACTAACATGTTACTCCTCCTTTTGTATTTATAATATGTTTCAAGCATCCAAGCCTCATTGAGCTGTTCTCTAATGAATATTAATGACATGTGCGCAATGAGGATGCGTAGCATATTATGTCGATGTTGTATTCTCACTCGTGCAGTTTTCGTTTTTACGTTTGTGTAATTTTCTCAATATATCCTGTAAATATTTTGTTGATTGTGCAGTTTTTCTATAGTTTGTGTAAATTTCAATAACTTCGTGTATATTTTCCTCACTTTGTGTAAGTTTTTACTTACTCGTGTAATTTTTGTTTAAGGTCGTGCAGAAAATAATTTTGAAGCAATCGGCGTGGCATATCAAAGGGAAGTAAGAGAGAAAGAGTACTTTCTATTTCAAAGTATTTATGATAGAACATGGGGAAGTTTGCCCTCATTATCAGGACTACATTAAAGAGATTAAATCTTGTTTGCATTACATTTGGGAAAAATATTTCCATGGAATTAATTTTCATCATTTATGTTTTTTCCTTGTTGTCTTTTATATACTGTGAAGGACTAAACTGTTCTGATATCTCCGGATGTCGTTGCTACAAAAGAAATGGATACAATGTTGCTAATTGTTCAGGTCTAAACCTTGACCGTTTCCCTCGGTTTAACAAGCAGGTGACATTGATTGATGTGAGTTATAATTATCTTCAGTTCTTTCCACAAGAACTCCCTTCTAATGTAAGTTATCTTGATATATCTGCAAATAATATAACAGCAAATCATGCAATATATATGTGCTGCAGGTATTTAGAAACATTAAAAATTGACCACAATCGCCTAGGGAACGGAAGTGTACTGCATTCTTTGTTTGATAATCTATCTTCTTTACAATTCCTGTCGATAAAAAATAACACTGGCCGTTCTCTACTGCAAAACACCACATATCCCAAAGGATTATTTATTAGACTGGTAAAATTGGTCACCTTGCACATCGATGGATATAGCCCTGCCAATATTGGAGATCTTTTTAATAAAAACAATTCTCTGATATCCTTGGACATGTCAGGATTCGAGATGACATGTATCTTGCCTTTGATTAAAAAGGATATGTTTCAAGATTTAGTTCAAATCAAGAGTTTATCACTCTCTTATTGTGGGATCAAAAGTATAGAAATGGGAGCATTTGAAGGATTACATTTTCTGGAGCATTTGGATATTTCCAACAATGACCAGTTAACACTGGATGGCATACCAAATGTAACAAACAGAATCAATCCAGAAATTCAACTTTTAAACTTTGAGAAGTTACATTGCATCTCTGGAATAATTCGGGTCCTAAAAATCAAACATGTCAAATACTTGAATTTTACACATTTGAAAACGCTCAATCTTGCTTCAAACCGCATTGCTTATTTTGAGAGAGGTGTAACACAATTATTACCCATTACATTGAAGAATCTTAATGTCGGAAACAACTTACTGATTAAGGGAATTTACATTCTTCAACTCAATCGCTTAAATGAACTTGAAACACTCAACATCAGCTATCAGAATCAGGCATACCACAGTTTTGCCGATATTATGTCTTCGTGCACCGAAGAACTTGTCCAAAGGATATCTACTTGCGAAAATCAGTCAGAATCGAACTTAAAGGCTATGCAAATTGAGACAGACGAGAAATATAGTAAACGATCATGGTATGACGGTTTTAACTTTACATTTTACCTTCCTCCAAAATTGAGAGTTTTATACATTCACCACACACAATATACGTTTCCTATAGATTTACCGGTTATTGTCAATACTTCTATTACACATATTTACGCATACAATAATTTGTTTATTAAAATCTTATATCCTGTGTATAACTTAGACAAATTGGAGTACGTGGATTTATCACAAAATCTTTTGACCAATTTGTCTGGTATTCGTAAAACTGACTGTACTAGTTTGAAATATTTGAACTTATCATATAACATGCTCGGGGATTCTTTAGAGGACAAATCTAGTAGTGAAATATTTTCCCACTTTGATAGTTTGGAAGTGTTAGATCTGTCAACCAATCGACTTACAGGTTTGGCACCAAATATATTTACTTCTCTAACGAATATTAAACATCTGAATGTAAGTTTTAACAAAATTGATGAATGGGTTGTCGGAATGAGACACATGAAACATCTAGTTTCCGTGGATCTCTCTAATAATGATCTGAGTGCACTCAACAAAAAGACCATGGCTGATCTTCAGTCGCTTGCATCTTTAAATAAAACCATCTCTGTTAATCTTCTGGGAAACCCCTTGATGTGCACTTGTAATAATATGCGATTTTTGACATGGCTAAGTCGTTCTGTATCGTTAGGCTTGCAATTCATCCATCTAGAGGAATACAGATGTGTACTTTCTAACAGTTCTTCTACAAAAATTGGCAACATTACCATATTTGTCCACCAAATGAAAGTGGAATGTACGGAATACCAGTTTATAATAGTAGGTTGTTCGTTTTTGATTCTGGTATTTTTTGGAATCACAGCATGGAAAATTCTCCGCAGATATCAATGGACATTACGTTACTGGTACTACGTTTCTAGAGGTACACCTCAACACTATAAAAACAAAGGGATTTTCCACTTCCGGTACGACGCCTTCTTGTCATATGATGAGGAAGACCATCAAATAGCTTTGCTAGTAGCCAATAAATTAGAAACTAACAAGCATCTGAAATTGTGTATCCCAGAGAGAGATTTCATGCCCGGGACAAATATTGCTGATAACATTATAAATGCCATTCACATCAGCAGGAAATTCTTTTGCATCATTTCGACAAACTACGTCAATTCACAATGGTCCATGTTTGAATTTCAAATGGGACAAATAGACGCCATCCACTCAAAGCTCCGACAAGAGAAGAATATTTTTATAGTTCTTTTACTAAAAGACACGCTTTCAATCGAAGCATTAAACCCAGCTGTTTTAGCCGTACTTGAAACTGATTCCTGTGTTACATATACTTCTGGAAGGGATTCTGAGCTTTTGTGCTTTGAGAAGCTGGATGAAATGTTATGCTTAAACAAATGAGTATCTAATATTTTATGATCTTTGGTCGTAAAATAAGACTTTCTTTTGGAATTGAATTAATCTTTACGGATTTTATTGTTTGATTTTATTGTGACTTTGATGGGAGATGGAGTATCTGCGTAGAATTTTATGTTTTCTTTTCTGGTTCGTATTTTGACCAACATTATACATACTAATTATAAGGACCTTATTAAGGCCATTGTTTTATACCATAAGAGATCTTTAGGTCTGAAGACAGGTTCCTCAATGTATATACCTTTTTGCCAAGAATTTGTAATTGAAATGTTGCTCCTTTAATAAGCTTCCTCCCAAAAATGAGGTCCATTTTAGACATTTGTGCAATATTCTAGATGACGGTATTTTCTAACCAGAAATCACTTGATTTGCTAATACATGTTTTACAATTTTTGGCATATTCTTTGGTGAGAGACATTTTGAAACCAGTAAAGAAATCAGAAGACAAATATTTTGGTATCGTGTATATGGAAGAGAAAAAATACAAAAAAGAAGATATTCATGGAATGCATTGTTGGACCTAAATGATGTTTATGCATCGAATCACTTATATGTTTGTGCAGAAAATGTAAATAAAAATAATTAAATCGTATGTGGTCACAAATCACTAAGATTTGTTTTCATTCTTGGTTTCCTTTTTTTTTTTTGTTTCGTGATGCAGACACCAACTGTTTTCTTTGGTTTTTAAAGATAAGAGGTTTATGTTATTTCTTGTGCAAATATTTTCTGAATATTATTAAAGTAGAGGAGACTCCATCCCTTCATTACACTTTCAGAAAGACACAAAGAATAAAATATTAATTAATTGTAAAAGCTATATTATTTAGCCTATGTTCACCGTTCGTTATCATTAACTTTTTTTCCATTATCACATTGCTTGTAGTTTCTAAATGCTCTGGAGCAATTGAACTCATTTTTGGAATCATTTTTGAACTCTTGACCTTGGAGTTTGACCTACATTTGAAGTACTTTAACCTTGACCTTGAGCTGTCATACTGGGGCATCATTGTTTCACAAATGCATCTTGTTGAACATGAAATGCACTTTCAATGTAATACAAAGTTAGCCCCACCTGGGGACAATAATTTCACAACTCGATAAAGGGCTTATATCTTATTGTCATCATGCAGTCTGCTTGCCAGATGTCCAGAGATAAAGATTTTCAAAGGTATAATGAATGTGAAATATATAGATGCATGATGCTTGCCCCAATGTCTAAAATTTCCCAATTTTGAAACATTTGAAGACTAAGATTAATCCTTTTTTAAATATATGGACCCAGCACTAGGGTCTTTTAATCTGGAACTAAGGGGACAATTCACAATTTCAGTAAGGGGTTAACTACTCATTATATTTATATAAACAGTAAATCTGTAGGATACTATACTGGTATATCATGAAATATTCTTCCTAGAAATGGCGTCGGAATTTCATAAATATTATGGATTCTGCAGAGGATTACGCCAGGCGATGAGCCAGACATAAAAAAGAAGAACTTTACACTTTGTCAGAATGGATTAAATGTATCAGATGTATGTTAAAATCGTGCATTAAAAAATTGAGGTGCAATATGACAACCATCTATCCATCTGTATTCAGTAATCCAGAGGTGAAAAAAGAATTAGATAGATTACATGATCAGTACGTACTGGTCCCTGCTGACAAAGCACGTAACAACATTGTCTTTGTTTGTAAGGCTCATTATATTAAATGTATTTTAGAGGAACTTGGATTTAATTCTACAAGTGGTAATCCAACTTATACTCATAGTTTCCTTTCTAAGGAAGACATTCTTCAAAATCATATATAAGTTTTGAATATTTTTAATATTCCAAACAACCAAAATGAATTTGAATTACCATATTTATATTGGATTCCGAAACTTCATAAAAATACTTACAAACAAAGACACACAATGACCTTGTCAGCAAATACAATTTATCATTGAGTCAAATGCTGACTGACTTTTTCATACTAATTGTTAGGCTATTATTTACACACTGAAATGTCGACGGATTTTTCCGTTATTTCCCGATCATGACAAAGAGCACACGGCGGGTGTAACCGGTCGGCAGGGGATGCTCACTCCTCCATGGCACCTGATCCCACCTCTGATGTTTAGGGGGTCCGTGTTTGACCTGCTCCTATTTTGTATTGTTTAATGGACTTCTGAGCTTGAATACTGTTCGTTATCTCCATATATTTCATTCTTAATATCAGACCTAATAACTCCATACTAGAACTTGAGTCCTGACTAGAGGGCTAACTACTTATTATAATTATGCAAACAGTTTCTCTGCCAGATGTCCGCAAGTAAAGAAGATCTTCATAGATTTATAATGTATTAACTAAGTATGAACTAATTTAGAATCCTTGAACTATTTTGATTGAAGGCTGTGTACTAATTATAAGCCATGCAATCAGATTCTCTACTAAATATACTGAAAGGAAAAAAAATATGGGTAACATATGAGGTGATTTGTTGATATTTATTCGAATGATTTTTCCTTGAAATGTTCCTTGTGATTTCAATAAATCTTTATCAAGAAGTTACGAAGATCTCACTAGATTTTGAAGCTCATTTGACGGTACATCCCCCTCTAAAAAAAGTTAAATTGAAAGACTCATTCTATCTCTTATGCCTTGTCGCGCATCTCTCACAGCATTGATTCTCCTGTACATGGAGTTTATCAGTGCATTTATCCTTCTCATGGGGATATCCTACTCTTCCAACAAGGCGGCCCTTTGTTTGTCGGAAGTTCCTGGGGCAATCCGACGCCTTAAGACCATACTGTCCAGGTACTCCAACAAATGTTCCTTTGGGGACAAATGCGGACTACAGGGTCCAATCGAGTGTGTTAATGTGATTGTTTTCAAGAAAGTCTCGACAAACCCTGATTACATGGGCCGGGGGATATCATGCAGGAAAATACGCCATGTGCGCGATTGATAGGGACACCAAAGTGAGAGTGACGTACTCGCGCAATCGGTTTCTTTCATTTTTAGGGTGAATGTGACGATTATTTTTGTCCATTGTCTTACTTGCAGTTTCCGTGGTATTTGTGTGGCGGTTATACAAGTGGCAAGATGAATATCCCTGTCTTAACAGAGCGTAGTTACGTGCGGACTCCGCCCTTGTAGTCATTCGGCATTCTTCCATCTCCTCTCAGGTGACCGACGAAACGATCTATGGTGGAAACATTCAAAAAAGAACTACACAGCAACCAGTTGTTGCCTTCCTTACAGTAGCAGTTCAATACCCTTACCCCTCTGAAATTCCGTCGACTGCCTTTTGATTGAAAGAAATTCAAATTGACTGTAAATAGCAAAAAAAGATTCTATACATTCAGAGTATCAAGTTGTATGACAAAATGTGTTAATGAATTCTCATCATCATTCTTTTTTTTCTTTTTTTTTTGTATATTTTCACTGTGTGACTTCATACATTTCAAGGATGAGTAGGTCTGGGCACCGATTTCGATGCACAGTGTTTAAGATAATCTTCTGATTGTTTTTCATAATTTTGGGTCAGGCATTTAAATAAGCGCATGTTGCATTACCCGCGTTTCCTTTTCCCTTCGGTATATCTGTGAGTGAAGATTTTCAAAGTACACTGTATACATAAAATGTTATTTCAGATGATGGCGAGAGACAAAAAAATGTTTTTGTTTAAAGTTGAGCTGAATTTTTGTTCAAAATCAAATTGGTTGTTCAGAACTAGTGCAAAATCATAGTAAGGTACATGACCAACGGTAAAAAGACACTTCTGGAAGTGTTTTATTCATAGGCATCTAAAACTTCCTCGTGAATTTAAAGCCTCGTGAGTTTAAAGCCCCATCGGAGTTACTTCCTTGATCGAGACGTCGAAGCTTAACAACAATGCAGGCTGGGGGGGTTTCGTGCAAGCGTAGCAAGTCTCCAGTTCCATAGATTTTGAGGCCTTTTCCAAATACCTGATATTTTCCCCCTTTAACGCCGAGTTTTGATTTCCTCGTGAATGTGTACAGGCATATGATATTGAATTAAACGTGACTTTTAAAAATAAATTCCTTATATACCTGATACTAGTACCTTACACATTTCTCGAGTGCTCTTGGTTTTTTTTCAAACAACCATGTAAATGGAAAGCACCATTCAATTGAAAGCACTGTAGAAGACTGGCTTTTAATGTTATATTATCTATAATGAGAAAAAAGGAAATAAACGAGTATCATTTAATCAACTTTAAAGGACCGTGAAGCGAGTTCTTCATTAGGTTGTCAAAAAATTACAAATAGGAAAAATTATTAAAAATTGTTAAAAATTTGAAGATTTCTTTTTTTTGTATGAAGTTTGTTAAGTTATGGCGAAATAAGGAATTATAATTATCTCAACATTAGACGAGCATAAAATCGTGTTTGCATTTGATTATAAAACAAACACATTTATAGATATATGGAATAGTTCAGAAAGAGCTAACATTTGATTATTATCATTTAGTTGTTTTTCTATTTTGGAAAATCTTTTGACATCAAGTAGCAAAGAGGATTCGCCTATTTTATGTAAAATTGTATATAATGGATAAGATTTGGTTTGATTTGAACATGTATTATTTACTTTAAATTTTAAATTGGGATCAGGCAAAAGTTCTATAAACTTAATACGCCCTTTTCCTCCCTGTGAATTATATCAAACATATTTACACATATGGGTAACAGTTTAAAATGAATAAGTTCGGAAAAACATAATACTAGTAATCAAATGATCAAATGTTCTATAGGAATACATACATTATACAACAGAAAAATTGGATAGAATTCGCAAAAAGTAATTATTGCATCAACAAAAACAATCTGACTTTTTAATAAATGTTTATATAATTGAAAAAGGTATTCGTTCTCAACATTGCTTAACGATTTATTTCCCGAAATTTGTCGAATAAGGATAAATTCTATCAATATACAAAATTAAGATTAAACATTAGATTGTCAATATAGAGTATAATA